TACTTAAAAATTTTACATTTTAAAGACTGAATTAAGAAGAACTTCAACCTTTTAAAACCATTGCTGCTGTGACAGTGCAAACAGCATACAATTTATTGCTCGACTTCTGCATGGGTACATACATTAAGTACTTAAAAACCATTTTATACAGTTTTTTTTGTTTGTTTGTTTGTTGTTAAAGCTCATGTAACAGCTGGGTGAAAATACAATGATTACATTTTAAAGACTGAATTAAGAAGAACTTCAACCTTTTAAAACCATTGCTGCTGTGACAGTGCAAACAGCATACAATTTATTGCTCGACTTCTGCATGGGTACATACATTAAGTACTTAAAAACCATTTTATACAGTTTTTTTTGTTTGTTTGTTTGTTGTTAAAGCTCATGTAACAGCTGGGTGAAAATACAATGATACCAATGCTAAAACACTGTAATAAATACAATGGAAATGATAAACTAAGAACTGTCAGTTTGTGGAGGAGTAATTACACTGGTATAAACTAATTACAACTACAGCCAAAGCTCTGAGGATGTGGCAGAGCCCAGGGACCTACTACATAGTGTGAAGTACAAGGAATGGCACCTGGTAACTCTGTGGTGCTGTTTAAATCTGCAGCCATGGGCACATGCTACATCAAGCTGGAGGATTTTGCTTATGCTGGGGAAGCAAAGCTTGACTTCCATCAATGCAGCCAGTTTAAACGCACCAGGAGTTCAATACAGATGTAGTGTTGGAGAACAGGAGTTTAAAAACTGCTTTCTGTGCTCTGGACTTTAGTACAACATAAAAAAAAATTTTGGTACAAATAAATCAGTTTAGGGAAACTGAAACTATGTGCAAAAAAAAAAAAAAAAAAAAAGAATTAGAATACATACTGTACAAAGCACCATTACAAAACTCTTTACACCGAGAAATTAAATCCTCTGAAACTCAACTGTGTATATTTGAAATCTACAAAAGTCACTGTTCATAATTAAACATTCATCATGAAAAGCAACAGCATAAAACCATGATGTGACATCTCTCTAAAACAACTAAAGACTGGATAAAGTAAAACCCAGTAAGAGGGACACATTGAAATAAATATTCACATTAATCATGGGGTGAAAGTCCAAGGTTAAAATGCAATATTAGGCTTAGCACCTTTTTTGAGGGGAAAGTAGCTGACATGGTCTTGAAACAAAATTTTGCAAAGGAATTAACCTTTAGCCTTTTCAGATAAACATCTGAGCAGGTGATGAGGTGCTTCAGTTAAAGCTCTCAGTCTTTGTGAAGGTAGAAAGGCACTCAAAATACTTGGTATATTCATCCTCATCTGTCAGCTATGGGAAGTCAAACGTAGACTTGCCTAGTTTTTGCCTAGAATATATTAAAATTTACAATATTTACCTGCGGCAGTTAAAAAAATTCTCTGTGCCATACCAAAATGTTTGGTAGAAAAACAGATGCACTGCTAAGGCTGCTGTGAACACGAACGCAATGATCAGCTGATCTCGGCCCACGTCGCGCAGAGCTCATCTCCCCCCGCTCCGAAATGCTGGGCTGACATCACTAGGCCATAACTGTGCCTGGCACAGCTGGCACAGCCCCAGGAGGCTGCAGATCAGCTCCTGTGGTGAGGTGGGTGCTGTGCTCAGGGGCACTCGAGCCCAGCTGAGCTGGGATGTGCAGGGGCAGCAGCTCCAAACCTTGCCCTGAACAGAGCCCTGACTCCTGCCCAGTGCTGCACCAAACCCCAGTGCACACCTGCCATGCCCAGGAGTGTCTGAGCCACAGCCTGAGCAAGAGCAGCTCACTCCTACAGCACTGGAGTTTGTCCCTGGGAGCAGTGGCCACGAGAACCTCCGTGACATCCACCACCCCCCAGAACCTGCAGAGGTGAGAGGAGCCCCAGGGAGTGCCTGAACAGTGGTCCCAACCATGGGCAGCACTTCTGAGTGACAAACACACTGGGCAACAACCTAATGTGCTCTCCCAGGCCCCTGGGCAGGTGCAGGAACAGCTTCTGGTACCACAGGGACCTCAAAGCTGTGGTCAGGGAGCTCAGCTGGGGAGGCACAAGTACCAAAACTCACAGGAGCACAAGAGTCCCTGAAATGAGAGCACAGGTCTGATGTATTTCAAACCTGGCTGTCCAAGCAAGTCTCTTGGCTTTCTGTTCACATCCTTAAGTAGCCTCCTCCTACAGCCAGCCCAGAGTGGGAAACAAGTCCCTCAGAGCAAACCTGCCAGCAACAGTTGTACAAAAACCTAATCCAATGAACATGTGGATTTGGCTGACCAGATTCTTACCACAACTCGACTCAAGTAGTCCCTTGCCCACTGCTCTGGTACACAACACCCAGTAGCTGTTCCTTCCCTGTGGCAAGTCAGACTTGGCAGAACAGAACTGAGTTCAGCTCCACAGAACAGAGAGGAAGGAACTGAGCTGGTCCCTGTGACCTCCCTGCACACAGGGACAGCTGGGGACATCCCAGCCCTTCAGCATTTTCAATGCCTTCGACTTTCTTCTCGCTGGCAGTGTCAAAATAGTGCAGATTTGATGATTAATTGTAACCTAAGTTACAAAAACACAACACTGACTGGAAAAAAAAAACACTAGTGACTCCAAACAATCTCCTGGCTTGGAAAAAAAACCCACTAGTGACTCCAAACAATCTCCTGGCTGAGAGGAGAATGGCACCCATAGCAGCCTGGTTTATCCACACACCACGAGCAGATCAGACAGATCTTAACTGAGAATTTCCAAACTAACATCAAGGTTCAGTTCCCTCTACTGGTAGTGCATTTTATTCCCCTTTGAAGAGATCAACCCATGTTATAATTCATATATATACTTACTTCCATCCCTACAATCAATAAATTATGTGCTCTTACAACCTCATTTCCAAAGCACATTACACATATTTCAGTCAATACACCATTTTCCTTAGTTGTAACTTAAACCCACGTGTCATGAGCAGCTGGACAAAGATTACAACATGTTTTACCTGATAAATCTTTAGCATCAACAAATACAGAGTAGGATTTGGCTGCATTCAAACATACTTTGGTTGTCTGGACCAGATGGGTTCTGACAGGACTTTCTGCTGGCAAAGCCCATCAGTTTGCTTCAAAAGCTGAGAAATGCAGTGTTTCAATTTAAAGTCAAAAGCAACAAAAAATACTCTTGACAGACTTGTTAGAAAAACGCTGTTTTTAAAAAAAAAAAAAAAATCAAAACATCTACTATTCATTAAAAAAGGTTATTCCACGTGTTAACCCCAGGACTGTGACAAACACAGCCTGTGTCACTCACACTAGAAATCCTGTTGAAGGAATCTGACAAGTGATATAAATAGGACCCAAAATGTTGTATCCTGAATTCATGCTTGAAAAATATAAAAAAAAGCCTCTGTGGCAACATTTACCTTCAATTTACATTGCAGAATATAATGTTTTACTATAAGAAAAATGCAGTTAACATGTAAGTGGCTTTAATTAAAAAGATTAATGATTCTTTCAGCCAATTTTATGCAAAGTTAGAATAATCCAAAATATTTTTTTTTTCTCCAAAAATAGCAGGTATAGATGCTGTTCAGTATCATACACATTTAAAACAGGCTGAAACGTGACTTGTACCGACTGCTGAAGTTGTGTCTTGGTATCTGAGCATAGAAATCAGGTAGGCAAATATAATAGATTACCTCTTACAAAAATAGTAGTAGTCTTTAAGTATAGAATACTGCTTAACTGTTGAAATGTAGGAAAAGTCAGCATTCTGTATGTTCAAGATATTAGTTTTTAATAGCAGCTGAATGGTCCTGTGGCAGAAACCACAGGACCCATTTTCTTGAAATAAAAAATTTAAAAAAAA